CACTTTACAAAATTAATTATTTAATTTATAAAAATAATCTTACAAAAGTAAAAAATTAATATACGTTGTCAAATTAACTCAAATATCGAGCCTGGAACTCATAGATAATTACTCAGTCCAATTCAGTAATTAACTATTTAATTTATTAAATTAACAAAATTGTAACAATGCTGAAATTGACACACATAATAATTAAGGATAACTTGGTACTATTGGGCATCAAATATCGAGCCTAGAACCCATACATAATTATTCAGTCCAATTCAATAATTTTTAATTTAATTCCTTAAACTAACAAAATTCCATCAGTAACTGAAATTGACACGCATAATAATTAAGGATAACTTGGTGCTACCGGACCTCAAATATCGAGTCTGGAACCCATACATAATTATTCAGTCCAATATTAAAAATAATTAATTATTTAATTTATTAAGCTAACAAAATTCTAAAAATGTTGAAATTGACACACATAATAATTAAGGATAGCTTGGTGCTACCGGGCCTCAAATATCGAGCCTGGAGCCCATAGATAATTACTCAGTCCAATTTTAAAAATATTTATTTAATTTATTAAACTAACAAAATTCTAAAAATACTGAAATTGACACGCATAATAATTAAGGATAACTTGGTACTACCGGGCCTCAGATATCGAGCCTAGAACCCATACATAATTACTCAGTCTAATTTTAAAAATAATTATTTAATTCCTTAAACTAACAAAATTCTAAAAATGTTGATATTGACACGCATAATAATTAAGGATAACTTGGTGCTACCGGGCCTCAAATATCGAGCCTGGAATCCATACATAATTGCTCAGTCCAATTTTAAAAATAATTATTTAATTTATTAAACTAACACACACAATTAATTTTCTTTAAATTATAGTAGACGACATGGACTTTCTGCCTGCGCATCCTGGACCAGTCGAGGATCAGCTATTAGTGTTGCAGGGTGACCATAGGTCCTCCTTTGTATGAGAGGGACATCTATCGGATCAGCCTCTCCGTGCCAGGAGACCTGACGATTTGTGGGACTTCACGGCGCAACATCATTTCCATGCCCGCGTAGTCGCGCGCCTATAGGCTACGGGCTTCTATACGATTTTTCGGATTGCGCGGATGCAGCTTGATTGGTCTCTCATCACGACCTTGGTAGAGTGGTGGCGACCGAAGACACACACTTTTCACTTGCCCACTGGAGAGGCCACCATCACGCTGGAGGATGTTCAGGTTTTGTACGGGCTGCGCATAGATGGACGGGCCGTTGCACTACCCCAGTACATTAGATCCATGTCGCGTGGATAGTATTTGGATATGATGGGGTAGTATACTGGTTACAGACCTCAGGGTGACGCTGTACAGAGAGGGGGCAGTCGCGTTGCTTTGTTAGCCATCAGAGATCATATGGCATTTTTGCACCCAGACATTACCGGCGAGACGGATGATCTCCATATTGAGCGGTACACGAGGTTGGCGCTGCTCCTGCTTTTCGGGGGTGTCTTGTTCCCAAACACTTCGGGAAGTCTAGTGAGTATGCGCTTTCTCCATCATCTGCAGCAGCTAGATGATTTACCCATATACAGCTGGGGTGTTGCTGTTCTCGCATACCTGTATAGGAGCATGTGCCGGGAGAGCATGCTTTGCTAGGTGGACATATGTGGTTTTCTGCCCCTTCTACAGGTGACAACATTTTCGAATACTCTGTTCATTACTCCGAATTCTATATGGTCAAAATGACTCATAAATTTTACGTCAACCTTTTATCTTAGGTTTGGGCCTGGCAGCGGGTCATGCCGTTACAGCCACCTCTACCACCCGGTGAGGCTTATCCGTTTCTCCCTATAGCTTCTAGGTGGGTTCTCCGGCGTGGGAACTACCGAGGGACCAATGCTCATCATAATCTCCCCCTTGTCAGGGATGTGTTAGATATGCTGGTGGCCGGACAGGTAAATATGTACTTACACTTATTTGTTATAAATTGAGTTGTGTTGCGCATACTCACTTTTATGTTATTATTTGGTAGTTCATCTGGACGCCATACAATGACGAGTTGCTAGCTCAGCTGCCCGATTATTGCTCCGTCGACCGACTGCTTTGGAGCACCTCCGTCCCGATGATCTTCTTCGATATGGTTGAGTATCATGCCACAGAGCGTGTGCTTCGCCAGTTTCACCGTTCCCAGCCTATACCGGGGGAGCCTGCATGGATCCCTACACACTATCAGCGGGATGACTGTATCAGGGTGGACGATATATTTATGGGATGGCTAGAGCAGCAGGTCCATATATGGGAGCAGTGAGGTGACCGTATTCCGCCATCACCTTCATTTACCCAGGAGGCCACTATTCATCTGTATATGCCATGGTACCGCTGTCACACCCGACTGATGATCGGGAACCCCATTCATGTACTTAGCGAGCGTTACAGACCATATGCTGGGAGGCACGAGTCACTGGTATGTTTTTGTGGCTTATTAATATCTTATATTTGTGATATAGCGTTATTTTTTTTAATATCTTAAGTGTTTCACAGGCTATTGGGCATCACCTGGTCTACCAGTTGGGACAGGAGATGCAGCAGCATGCCGACAGTGCTGCACTCGTTGCGTATGGCCGGCAGGTGGCAGATCTGGCTCGTCAGACCCTATTTCAAGCGAGAGATGGCGCGAGTTTGGATCACGAGGATCAGTATGCGGCGCCAGAGGACTACCATCGGGGTAGGGTTGTCCCACGAGGCAGGGGTAGGGCACGAGAGAGGGGTGCCCTACGGGGTCGCGGGGGACGGAGAGGAGGTGGTCCCTAGAAAAGGGCCGTTGAGGCACCTGCCGACCCACCTGTTGAGGGACATGATGAGGATTTTAGAGATGAGGATCTTGGAGATGATCAGCCGGGTTATATACCTCAGGTAGATGAGCCTTCCAGCAACATGTCGTTGTATAGCCTTCAGCTATCTCTGCCAGCATCGCAGGTCACCCCGTCAGGAGCATTGTTGATCACGGGTACATTCGACCGGGATGTAGACCAGTACTTTGCATGCCCATCTACCGTAGCTGAGGATCGGCCGACCCGAGACGTGGATGGCGGGCGCAAGTTGAGTTATGCCTCATCCCCGGCGGTTGATGCGGATCTACCACAGGCGCAGGTATGTTTGTATTACTTTAAAATTTCAATTTGTTTTCTTTTCCTTAATGAGCTGCCATTAATTAATTTTTAACTTTCTTATGAGGCTTTGTCCCAGCCCATCTTTGAGGCTACTACATGCTTTGATGAGGACACCACAGATGCATATACTCAGGAGGCCAACGAGACCACTGTGAGAATAATATACTTTTTCACATGCTAAGATTAGTACTTGTTTTGTAGGTTGCTGACGGCCTATTCTTTCGATCCTGCCAGCTGTGGTGTCGATACTGCTGCACATCCTCATATAAAGAGGCGGCTTGATGATGATGATCCAGATAGTGTACCCGGGCGACAGGGGATGCAACTCAGGCCAGCAGCAGCACTAAAGCACACAGGTTGTGGGACTCATTGATTTACTTATGTTTTTACTTTGTGTAAATAGTGCATTATGTAAATAATGGTAACAATTATCTTTTACAACAATTTTATTTTAATTGCGTTTGAACAACAATTTTACTTTAACAGTACAACACAAACACAAACCTTGCAAACCTAACACAAAAACAGTAGAACTAATGAAAATACTGGATAAAGGAAACATAAAGATACACTAGAATGCTCAACACGTACATGCCATTGTTTAGTCACTACCGCCTAGTATTCTCTGCTTCATCCACTCGAGCTTGTTTTCCAACTTTTTTTTTCTCTTCTTCCACCACCTTGAGTTTCCCCTTCAACTCTGCAATTTCTTGCTTGGATTGACGCTCTTTGTCCCACTGCCCCGTACACACATCATGAAGATGATACAACTTGTCTTTATAATATTCCTGCTCACATGGTTCATCAATCCATACCTTAAAATTGCATGTAGGTACGCCGGGTTGCCTATACAACATGTTCATACACGCCCAGTAGCGGCGTCCAGCTTCTTCCCAACAATCGTACATCATGCTTTTGATTCCACAGTCGCACTTTGGGCAATAAAGGGGTTGTCGAGACATTTCTTAAAGAGAAACTTTGGTTTTATGGAAATATTTGCTATAGGTTGTTGTTAAGCGCAGAAAATAACTAGAATGCGCTCGTTATTTATAGGCAAGATTTCACATATAACGTAGTATTATACCACGCTTTGCATATTAAATTTCTCTAAAACGACATTGTTTTATCACATGGTTTTCAGCTTTTTCAGAATGACATGACAACTCAACAAAGCGTAGTATTATACTGCGCTTTACATATTATATTTTTCTGCAAGGAAACAACTTTTTCACATGCGTTTCTAGCTTTTTCCGAATGACAAGACAACTTCATAAAACGTAGTACTATACCACGTTTTAAGTATTAAATTGTTTTGCAAGAAAATAGCTTTTTTCACATGGTTTTCATCTTTTTCAGAACGACAAGACAACTCCATAAAACGTAGTACTATACAAACTTAGTCTTATATCACACTTTACACATAATTTTTTTAAAAATGTTTAGATTGGTGTTCTTTAGTAACACCAATACGTTGAATATTTGAACAATTCTATGAAGAAAATAATACATTATGTAGATAATGGCAACAATTCTAGTTTAACGACACATGTTATTGTGACAGAATTTGAACAACAATTTTATTTAAATATGACAACCCAAACACAAACACGGCAAATCTAACGATACACATAACAAAAACAAATAGTAGAACTAATGAAAATACTTGACAAGGGAAACATAAAGATACACTAGTACACTCAACACGTACAAGCCACTGTTTAGTCACGACCACGTACTACTATTTGCTCCAACCACTGGAGTTGGTCTTCCAGTTTTTTTTCTCTTCTTCTACCTCATTGAGTTTCGCCTTCAAGTCATCAATTTCTTGGTTGGTTCGGCGCTCGCGTATCACTTGCCTCATACAGGTAATATGAAGATCATAAATTCTTTCTTTGTAGTACTCTTGGTTACATGGTTCATCCATCCATACCTCAAATTCACATGTAGGCTTGTCGGGTTGCTCGTCCTCCTTGTTCATACATGCCCAGTAGCGGCGTCTACCATCTGACCACTATTTGTACAAACTGCATTTTTCTCCGCAATAGCACCTTGGGACATAAACAGGTTGTTCAGTCTTTTCTTAAAGAGAAACTTCGGTTATTGTTAAGCGCAGAACATAAGTAGCATGCGCCCGTTATTTATAGTCAATATTTCACACAAAATGTAGTATTATACTGCGTTTTAGTTATTGAAGTTAAACGACATGACAACTCAACAAAACATAGTATTATACCACGCTTTACATATTAAAGTTATTCTACAACAAAACAGGTTTTTCACATGGTTTTCAGCTTTTTCAGAACGACATGACAACTCAACAAAACGTATTATTATACCACGCTTTACATATTAAAGTTATTCTGCAATTAAATAGCTTTTTCTTCAGTCATTCCAGCTTTTTGAGAACGACAATACAATAGATAAAACGTATTATTGTACCGCGCTTTACATATTAGATTTATTTTTTAATACGTAATTTTTTTTATTCCACATTCTTGGTCTTCTTTACTAACACAAATAAGTTTAATATTTGAACAACCATATCAAAACATCACGTTAAAAAAATAAGATGTAACAAGATTGTGGAACATAATTTTATTTGATATATATTGCAACATACACAAGTACAGACAAATATTAAAAAAAACAAAACCAAAACAAAAGACTAGGGGTATCCTTGATAGTTGGGTACATTCGACGAACTTGCACCAGGAGCTGGATTACCACCGCCACGCACACCACCTGAAGGACATTTACGACGGTCGTGTCCTGGCTGCGAGCATATGCCACATTTACGCGCATAAACGGTGTCACCAACATCCATTTGGTTCCGTATACGCGTTCTCTTTTTCACTTGCAACTTGCGCAAATAGTACTTGTTACATACCATCTTAAAAGGTTTCCACGGCCAATAATGCTCAGCACCTAATGGCTGCAATTGCCCGCTATACGTGTCTATGTATTCAGCAACACTGTATTGCCTATCAATATAGTTGGTTGCCCCATATCCAACTTGTTAAAAGCACTTCAACGCATGTGCGCACGACATGTGGTAGATGGTCCATTTTCCACATGAACAAAACCTTCTGGCTTTATTCACCATCTGCAGATTATTCCCACGGTGTCCGCAGATAGCGGTCTTAACTTCAAAAACACCCCGATCATCATCGTACTATAGAAACGAATGCCACTATTCTCGCCTCCTGTACCTTTCAAATCTTCTCATGGGTATTGGCATAAATTGAACACCCCTTTCCATCAATGCCGATGCAGCTCCATGCCTTTCAACTATCCTCTTCGCACTCTGTTTGAATGTCATGCGGACCATGGCAGTGACAGGCAGTCTACGGGCAGACTTCAACAAACCGTTGAATGACTCCGACATGTTTGTAGTGAGGGCTCCCCATCATCTGCCGCCATCAGCATGCAATGTCCACATGTGAAGCTCATGTCCCATCAACCAAGTATAGGCTCGTGGATCTATCTACCGGATCGCTTACATGCACCTGGTGAATTTGCACTGCTGGTGCTCAGTTGCAGCCATCCACATTAAGTCATACAAGGCCTTGTCAGGATATTTCTTCTAGAAATTGGCCTTCAAGTGCCTCACACAGTAATAATGGTATGCATATGGTTCTTGCCATTCAGGCAAGTGCCGTACAGGACTTAAAATGCCACCATGTCGATCGGATATTAGACAAATACCTGAACGCTGTTTGACAACGTACTGCTTTAAGTGGTTCAAAAAAATTGTCCACGTCGCTTCGCTTTCATTGGCACAAATGACAAAAGCTAGTGGAAATATTTGGCCGTTGGCATCAACTGCAACTGCAATCAAAAGCTTAATATCATACTTTCCATAGACATGAGTACCATCTATGGAAATTACAGGACGAAAATGCACAAAACCATCAATTGCTGCTTTAAATGACCAGAACACATAGTTGAAAATATATTCGGGTCTGTCCGGACTACGCTCACGCCTCCATTCAACAACAATGCCGGGGTTAAAGTGTTGCAGTGCGTCCATGCACCTGGGCAGATTTGAAAAAGACTTATCACAGTCGCCATAAATAAGTTCAAAGGCATGTTTATATGCCTTTCTTTTGGTTATAGTACAATCATACTCTTGGTGGATGTCTGTAATACACTCTTTAATCTTGAACCTAATGGACACTTCCAAATATGGAATCAAGACAAGAGAAATCAAGTCCACATCCAGGTTGAAGTGATTCTCATTGAATGTGTCCATTTCACATCTGTGGGTGCTAATAAATTTACCCACTTTCTACAAACCTGATTTCTTCTTGCTGGCACGCAACATCCAATAACAACCCATAAAGTCTCTATGGCATACAACCTTGTGTACCTCCGTAGTTGATCACTTACTATGATCTCACGACACTCTCTTATACTGTAGATTTTTACAGCCCTAATTAGGCGAGCTTTGTCGGGGAAATACATGCCCTTTGTCAGAACAACTGGTCTAGACTCATCCCACATCGCTGATCGAATTTTATCATCATCCCTTGTGAGGGCATCCACGTTTGGCATACTTGGCAAATTATCAAGGTAGGGAATATTACGTTTATGAAATGACACGTAGGACTCATACACTCTAGGTCTAGCGGGAGGTGGAGG